GAGTGTGAATAAACTAAAACTTTATTTTTGCAGAAAATAACCTCAAAATATCCATAAACTGAAATAACTGAAAATATGTCTATATCATAGAAGCATCTAAAATTACAAACTCCCACTAAAACTGAATATCCTCTAATGACATGACACCTATATGAGCAGTGTGCTCATGAAACACTTTGGGTGGCAATCCCTTTGTAAGCGGATCCGCAACCATGGAGTTTGTACCGATGTGCTCTATAGACAATTGTCCACTCTGAACTCTTTCCTTGACAACTAGGAACTTGATGTCTATATGCTTTGACTTCATCGAGCTCCTGTTATTGTTGGAATACATCACTACTGACTTATTTTCACAAAATAACTTGAGTGGCCTTTCAATGCCATCCACTATACGCAGCCCCGTGACAAAATTCCACAGCCATATTCCGTGATTGGACGCCTCATAACATGCTATGAACTCTACTGCCATGGTAGAAGAGGCTATAAGAGACTGTTTAGCACTCTTCTAGGAGACAGCACCTTCAGCTAGCAGGTAGATATAGCCCGACGTAGATTTCATACTATCTAGGCATCCAGCAAAATCGGAGTCAGTATACCCAACGATCTCAAGCTGATCCGACCTCCGATACGTGAGCATGTAGTCTTTTGTTCTCTGCAAGTACCGCAAGACCCGTTTGGCTGCTTTCTAATGGTATACTCCTGGATTACTTAAATACCTGCCCAACATCCCAGTAACGTACGCAATATCCGGACACGTACAAACCTGAGCATACATTAGACTTCCTATTGCTGACGCATAAGGATTCTTTTGCATTTCCTTTTCCTCAAAATCATTCTTAGGGCACTGATTGAGACTAAACTTGTCTCCCTTAGCCACAGGGGTGTTACATGGTTTGCAAGCCTGCATGTCATATCTCTTGAGAACCTTTTCGATATAGCTCTTTTGTGATAATCCAAGAATACCCCGAGAGCGATCCCGGTGTATTTGTATGCCTAATACAAAAGATGCGTCACCAAGATCTTTCATCTCAAAATTTTTAGCTAGAAATCTCTTAGTTTTGTGCAATAAGCCTATATCGTTGCTGGCAAGCAAAATGTCATCGACATATAAAACCAGAAAAATGTATTTACTCCCACGGAACTTATGGTATATGCAATCATCGACCAAATTCATCTCAAAACCGAACGAGATGATCACTTGATGAAACTTGAAATACCATTGTCGAGATGCTTATTTAAGTCCATATATGGATTTCTTAAGTTTGCAAACCATATTCTTTAAGTCTCCCGACACAAAGTTTCTGGTTGCACCATATAGATTGTCTCATCAATGTTTCCATTGAGAAACGCTGTCTTTACATCCATCTGATGTAACTCAAGATTGAAATGCGCCACTAATGCCATTATAATCCTGAAAGAGTCTTTTGAAGAAACCGGAGAGAAAGTCTCTTTATAGTCGATGCCTTCCTTTTGTGTAAAGCCCTTTGTGACAAGACGCGCCTTATACCTCTCCACATCGCCTTTCGAATCCCTCTTGGTCTTAAATATCCATTTGCAACCAATGGGTTTCGCTCCTTCTGGCAATGGGACAAGATCCCACACGTCATTGTCCTTCATGGATTTAATCTCCTCATTCATTACATCGCCTTTCGAATCCCTCTCGGTCTTAAATATCCATTTGCAACCAATGGGTTTCGCTCCTTCTGGCAATGGGACAAGATCCCACACGTCATTGTCCTTCATGGACTTAATCTCCTCATTCATGGCATCAATCCACTTCTGAGAGTTAGAACTTTCCATGGCTTGACAGAAGTTAATCGGATCATCTTCCATCACCCCTCATGTTCTTGGAGAAATACAATGTAGTCATCTGGCACCGCACTTCTCCTTTCTCTAATGGCATAGGTTCTTGAAGTGGTAGAGTTTGTTCTTCTGGAACAACTTCTTGTATGAGAGGTTCTCTGACATTGTCTTGATTTGTTGTGTCTTGAACAATGTCAGAAATGAGATCTTGATCAATGTCAATAGCACCTATGGGAATATCAACATATTCCTCTTCGAAGACAAGGTCCCTAACTGTATCTCCCCCCGCAAACTCGACATCCTCAAAGAACCGGGCATTTCCCGACTCGAAAATCGACTTAGTCGTGGGATCATAAAACTTGTACCCCCTAGATCTTTCAGAGTATCCAATAAAATAGCAACTCACCGTCCTTGAGTCCAGTTTCTTTTCATTAGGCCTGTAAGGTCTTGCCTCAGCTGGACATCCCCAAATATGCAAGTGCTTTAAACTAGGCTTCTTACCCGTCCAAAGCTCGTAAGGGGTTTTGACAGTCGCTTTAGTTAGAATCCTGATGCGATAAAATTAACACTAGCAAGTGCACCAATCGTTCAAGTAATAAAGTGATGAGTAAGATATCGTTTCCCAATGAGGATTGGTAAAATTCACAAATAAAATGATTAAACCGACTATGTTATTCGAGATTGCGAAATTGGGAGTAATGTGAATTAAAACTAAGTAAAGATTAAAAATTAGAAAAAGTAAAGAAACAAGATTTAAGAAAGAAATACAATGAGAGAAAATGTTAGAGAGTTGATTTCACCTACACCAATTCATCCATAAGCTCAAAAGAATGAATTTCAATTATTATTATCCATGACATGGTAGAATTCCCTAATGTTTAATTATCCATATTTCGGGTCTAATAAACTATCACATATATTCTTAACTTCAAATATCCTTATTTCAGGTCTATTCTAGATTAATTCAATATGAGATGCCTTAGAATTTGTGGAATCCTTTTTCGGTTAAATCTCCCTCTCGGTTACAATTTAAACTGACCACATGAATTTCTTTAAATCCCTATTCGGTTACTCCTCGTCCATTCATGGCATGTTCTATATTTTGCTTGAATATTATTCACATCCAAGATTCAATTCACAATTTAATGTTTCCTATCACATAGCTTCTCTATCCGAAACATCACTATGATCAATTCCCAAATTAAATAAATGAAAAGCCCTAAGAACAATAGAACACACTCTTCACGGAAAAATAATCAATTGCAACTCATTCAAATTGAAACTTAGAAATCATAGGTTCGGATCCATCAATCTCTAACTAAAAGTATTAAACCATAGCTAAATTAAATAAAACAAAGAGAATTCCAAGAGACATCACCATGCTCTTCACGAAAGAAGAAAAGAAGAAACAAGGGTAAATCCCAATGGCCGAACTTTACAAATTATTTCTCCACCAGGAATCAGCCACTCCCAGCAATAATCCCTCTGGGCCAACTCTAAAACTCTCGCCGAATCCCCCTTGAAAAGCCCTCGGTTAAACTCCTTTTTCCCCCCTTTCTCCCTGCGGAAAATCCCAGCAACAACCCCTCTAGAATATCCCTGAAAAACTCTCTGGAATCTCTCCCCAGAAACCCCCTGGAATATCCCGGATCTTCCTCTCGTTTTCATTTTCAAACTCTCCCTCGAGATAGGGTTTTCTCCACAGAAATTGCAACTCTCTATCCTCTCCATTTAACGTAATTACATGCGTCTCAAGCTTTTGGAGAACTGATAATCTAATTGTACTAAAAGTGATAACCATTAACCATTAATACCAATTGCATTCACTTATTTGACGCATGTTGAACCTTAGTTTAAAATATTCACCCCTATTCACATTCTCACCATGGTTTGAAGTTGCCCGTCTCCTAATTTTCCCTCTTCAAAATGTGAACATTAATTAATGTTTAAATCTACATGAAACTTTGAAGAACTGATAAACTATGTGATGGTGAGAATTCAAAGAATGCTATAGGTGAAAATTGTAGGGGGAAACAAAAACTGATTTTTGTGCAAACTTTGTTAATTATCTGCAGGTCAAGTCATTTAGAACAGCAGCTGAAGTGGATGAATGGCTGTATGCTAATCCGATGCGCTCTCCGGGAGCTTTGCATTTTGCCGAAATAAATGCTACTGTGATCAGCTATGGCCTTCAGACCAACTCAACTCCTCTTGCAAAGCGAGGATATTTTGAACAGCCAACATTGAAGTTTCAAATCCCGCTTCAGATTGCTGCAGAGCGCGAAATTGCCAGGTCTCTTATTGGAGGTACCAAATTTTTTCCTTCCTTTTTTTTCGGGAACTTCTGTGGTAGGACCTGTCTTTTTTAACTAACGGTAGTTATTGTTATTTTAACATTTGGATTAAAATTTTATATAGTCTGATTTGTAAGTGTTCGCATTAAAAATTTGCAGCACGTACTACAAAACTGTTTCATTCCGTTAAATAAATAGTCCAACAGTTAAAACAGTTAAAACAGCAATAACTACAAATAGCTAAAAAGGACAGGTCCCTCCGGAAAAATTCCCTTTTTTGGCTGTTTTGTTTTCATTGAACTAAGTTTTGGCCTCCATTTTTGTACTGGTCTAGATATGTAACTTACTGATGAGTTTCCACAATATGATCAGTTCCAAACTTTAGCTGGGTTGTTGCTCTTAAGGAATTTGCACATCCAAAGGTCGAAATCACATCTGCAATAACAGTACTTGGACCTCCATTTTTCCTTGCAACTGCCATTTTCGGTTTTGTGTTTCAAATGAGTTCTTTGGTGGCAGAGAAAGAACTAAAACTTCGGCAGGTAAAATATAGCTAAAACCTTTAAGAGCATCTGCAATGTAAATGTCAATCTCATTCTTGTATGTGAAAATAAGAAATGTGAAGTATAGCGTATCTGGTACTCCAATGCATAATGTTATATCTACTTTTTGTGCACAGTTATTAATCTTTAGAACTTATGAAAGTATACTCCAAATTTTAAAATAAGTTGAACACGACAATATGGTAATGTTTAAATGAAAACGTAAGTGCATCAATCAACGGCGGTCAAATGTAAAAATTTGGCATATCCACGCACAATGTATATGCCAAATTTCTCATCAAAATAGCGCCTCTCTGGGGAGTGATTTCGTACTCAAATACAACAACAAGAACAATAAGCCTTAATCCCAAGTTAATTAGAGTCGGCTATATGGATTTTACTTTTTCACGCAGCTCTGTTCAAAATTAGACTTTCTTGATACTAAAAGTTTAAGATTGGAGTTTGCCACTACATTAGAGATGCCCTTAAGTTCAAATGAAAAAAAAAAAAAAACTTATGATGGTGTGAGAGTCAAAATTTTTTACTCAGAAAATTTTGATCTTGCTGCAGGGGATGAATATGATGGGTCTTTATGAGTCTGCATACTGGTTGTCATGGTTCACATGGGAAGGAATTCTTACACTTCTGTCATCACTATTCACTGTCCTTTTCGGAATGCTTTTTCAATTTGACCTCTTCTTGAACAACAGTTCTGCAGTTGTATTTCTTGTGTTCTTCCTATTTCAACTCAACATGGTAAAGTCTGTTTTCCTGTCTTTATAATTTGTTATCAGTTAAGCCATGCTGTTTTCCTTAATACATTTCTCTAACGTGATTTTATCACAGCTTGCCTTTGGCTTCATGTTGTCAGCCTTCATGAGCAAGTCCTCATCATCTTCGACCATCGGTTTCTCGATCTTCATCATCGGCTCAATGACTGAGGCAGAATTTACCCTTGATTCAAATGTTTCACAAAAAAGAGTTTATACATTAGATTAGTAACACCATACTCCACTTCTGTGTCTGCAGCTTGTTGGAACACTAAATTTTTCCTACAGTCACCGCTTCTCCAAAAGGTTCCGAACCGGTTGGTCCTTCTTCCCTCCTAATCTTCTGACCAAAGCTCTATGGTTGCTTTCTGATGCAACTTCTAGTCCTCAAGATGTTGGGATCAGCTGGAGTAGAATGTCAGAATGTGCATCAAATGACGCCGAGTGTCTGATAACAATCGTATGTACCGAATTTCACAATGTTCAATTTGGCTAGTTCTACTTATTGATGCATGTCTTAAAATTTGTACTTTACAGAGTGAAATTTTTCGGTGGTTTGTGGCTACATTCTTCCTCTGGTCTGTATTGGCAATCTACTTGGATAACATTCTCCCAGATGAATATGGTGTAAGGAAATCAATGTTTTACTTTTTGAATTTTCGATACTGGACAGGAAGAGCCGGGAACAAAGATCAAGGTAAATCGACTACGATATTTTTCTAGAAAGCTTAGATTGGTTGTTTTATTAGGACTTGACATATTTTCTCCTTTCTCTTCATAGACGGTGCCATTTGTAGTTGCATAGAGGAGCTCAATCCTCCAGAAGACGAAGATGTCCTTGAGGAGGAGAACATCATAAAGCGACAAATTAAAGAAGGTATAGACGACACAAAAATCACAGTTCAGATACGCGGCCTTGTAAAGATACATCCCGCGAGCACGAACATCGGTTGCTTCAAATGCAAGAAAATTCCACCTTTCCATGCTCTCAAGGTAAACAAAACAAGTTAAAATGATTTATTTTATCTAGGTTGAGAAAATGTCCCTTGCTTCTGGCCTCTTTGAATACTTCATGATCAAATTTGTTTTTGTTTCCCAATCTAATTTTCCATGCCTTATGTTTTTCGTTCTTCTTTTTCTTTTTTCTTAAGTGACTTGGTAAAGTCTGATTATAGCATATAATCTTCAGGGATTGTGGTTGAACATTGCAAGGGATCAGTTATTTTGTCTACTTGGAACCAGTGGAGCTGGGAAGACTTCACTAATCTATTGTTTGACTGGAATAACTCCAGTCACTGGTGGTGATGGTAACATGCTTGTTGTTAGATATATTCGTGTTCAGCAGTCAAAATATTGATCATAAAGCATAGAGGAGTGTAATCTTATTCTTCATTTTTCTTTACATCTTATACTGTGGACCGCCTCAATAGCATTGATCTCTGGGAATTCCATACGAAGCTCTGTCGACATATCAAGAATCCGAAAATTGATAGGAGTTTGTCCTCAGGTGATATGCTCTCTCTGATCTTTCTCTAGGCATTTTTCTGTGTCATGTGGACAGTCTAAAGAAGTTTTCACCGTTTTGAAGTTTTCCGAGAATTGAGACTGACCCTTCTTTTTATGCTTTTATATTCACAGTTTGATATTCTTTGGGATGCACTATCTGGGCAAGAGCATCTCCAACTTTTTGCCAGCATTAAGGGCTTACACCAAGCTTCAATACAATCTGTATGTAATACACAAAAATTGAAAGGTTCTTTCACATGCTTTGCTACTCACAAAATGTTCAAGTCTAAACATAACCTAATCATCTCTATAGTATACTCCCATTTTTTAGCAAAACAAGATATTTTTTCACTCTGCATAAGATAAATGACTTCTAAAGGAAGTAAAATGCAGGTTGTTCAAAAATCTTTAGAGGAAGTGAGGCTCACTGAGGCAGCCAAAAAGCAAGCAGGCAGTTACAGCGGAGGAATGAGACGTCGTCTTAGCCTTGCAATAGCCCTTATTGGCGATCCAAAATTGCTCATATTAGATGAACCCGTATGTAGATCAAAACAGCGCTTTTCCTCCACATGTTTCAATTACTTGTTGCGCAAGTCAAGTGATTTATTTAGACTGCGATATGCAGACAACTGGTACGGATCCAATAACAAGAAGACATGTGTGGGACATCATACTGAAAGCAAAGAGAGGGCGCGCAATAGTCCTAACAACACACTCAATGGAAGAAGCCGACATTCTTGGTGACCGGATTGGAATAATGGCTAATGGCAAGCTCCAGTGTATTGGGAACTCAAGCAGATTGAAGACGCGATTCGGGACCGGATTTGTTGTTCATGTGAGTTTTGTCAAAAGCTCCAATGGACACACTCATGAGGATGTGAAGCAATTCTTCAAAACTGTATGTTGAATAAGTTAATGGTTTGAAAATCTCTCTCTTTTTTTTCTTTTTTTTACGTGAAAGTTTGGTTTCTAACATATATAGGGCTCATTTGTCAGCACTTAGATGTTGTACCAAAGGAAGAGAACAAGTCTTTTTTGACTTTTGCCATTCCTCGAAATAGAGAAGTACTTTTTCCTGTAAGCATATCCTCACTCTTCTACTTTGTCTCACTTTAAGAAAGCAATATTTTGCGTTCTGGTAAAGTCATGGTTTAAGATTAAACACTTTTAATTGTATTGATAAGAAAGATGATTTTGAATTTTCCGTTGAATTTTGACACACACAAAGCTTTGATCTTTCGTCACTCTATCCTCAGCATAAGAATAATCAAATGTCACTTTCTTCTATTTAAATTGACGACTTTATTAGTCCAATTTTGTGGCAAGTTAGGTTTAATTATCGTACTTTTCTTAATCTGATAGTTCAAAACTATATTCTACCAATAGGGTATTTTACATACGCAATCACAAAATTCTCAATCTAATCCATGTTTTCTGCCTATCATTTTCTCACTTAAATAACAAATTTGAGATATCTTCCTGTTGCATTAGAATTATATCCATTTGGTAATTGGTATATACTACATTCAACACGTATTGCTAATGCTAACTAGATAACATTATGTTCCTTACTTTAGTCTCTTTTTTTCTTTTTCTTTTTTTTTTTTTTTACTAGATAACATTATGTTCCTTACTTTAGTCTCTTTTTTTCTTTTTCTTTTTTTTTCTTTTTTCATGCACTACCTTACATTCTTGGTTGAATTAACTTCTGCACCTTTGGATTGACAATATTGTTGAAAATAGGATTGTTTTGCTGAGGTCCAAAACAGAGAGAGTGAATTTGGTATATCTGACATTCAGATTAGTTTCACAAGCCTTGAAGAGGTTTTCTTGAGTATTGCACGGAGGGCAGAGCTAGAAAATGCCATAGCTGAGGGGAAATTCGTCACACTCAACTTATCATCTGGAATGTCAATTGAAGTAAGCACAACTAAAAGCTTCTACAATTCATTTTTTACACGTAGAAATTAGAAGGTCATTGCTAGCTTAGTTGAAATATAGTCCACATTGACCTCCTATAGTCACGTCCAAGATCAAATATCCTGGTGAATCCCGGATTTGTCAAATTTGATCATGGGGTAAATTCAGGATTCACCGTGTAAATCCAGCGACGCTCACTATTTACTAATCATAAAAAGAAAAACGCGCGCGTGCCACGGCACATTCCTTAGCAAACTTCATTTGCTAATACTCTTGTCATCTCTTTTATATTTGTCTTGTTCCATTGTAATGTTAACGCAGGTACCTTTGGGAGCTACATTGGTGGGAATTCCAGGAACCGAAACAGAAGAAAATCCTAGAGGGAAAATGGTGGAAGTGCATTGGAAGCAAGATGATCTTGGTGCTCTCTGCATATCCGGCCACTCGGCTGAAATGCCAATACCACCAGATGTGGAACCAATAGCTTCTTTGGCAGTAACTTCAAGAAAGAATTTCACAGGTTCCTGAAGTTCAGGGGTATAAAATACTTCAGTAGATAATCATTCAAGAATCATTTCCTAATGATCCGCCTTCAAGAAAGAATTTCACAGGTTCCTGAAGTTCAGGGGTATAAAATACTTCAGTAGATAATCATTCAAGAATCATTTCCTAATGATCCGCCTTCAATCGATCATTGGAAAATGATTCTACTGAAGTTCAGGGGTATAGATTTTTTTGGCTATGCGTATATTAATATAATAAATTACATATTTATATTTATTTTTTTAAAAAGAATACAAGCCCCCACTAAACCCCGCTTGGATCCATCTATGTTGCTATGCGCTATATTTGCATGTTTTCTCAGAAGTGAGATCTTGTTTTAATTATTTTTTCCAAACTATTCGAATGAAATGAGTTAAGCAGCAACACAACTAAGTTAAGGAGGGAGATCTTGTTTTAATCATTTTTCCAAATTATTCGAATGAAATGAGTTAGGCAGCAACACAACCATAAGTGGTAGACATTCTTTTTTTTTTTTTTTTTTAAAAGCTTCTCAGAAAAAGTAGCATTTGTTTAAAAATCAAGGAAATTTCATAGTACAACAAAAGCTAAAGGTGAGGGAACATCTTTCAACCACAATGTTTTCATTTTATCCTAAGAGCATGTTTTGTGAGGCCATGAGCCGCCTTATTGGCTGTTTGGCCTCTATGTAAATATGCATAAAAGATGCACCAAAATAAGATGTAAAACATGAACACCATACAAGAGATTCACAATCATTGAATTGTTGACAACATCTTAGTTCAGAGCTTGAATAACTTCCAAACAATCGGTATTCATATGATGCACGAGTTCTTGTTTCTGCTTCATTTGGTGAAAAAGAGTCCACCATAGGAGATGTTGAAGTGACTGCCATGACAGCAACAAAAATAAAGAAATGATGCTGACTACAGTAATGAGAACAAAAGATTCAAGAATATGGAAACAGTTAGCTGGTAGAATACTCCTAAATAGTCATAGAGAGAAGTCTACTCAATTTAAATCTACAAAACCTTGTAAATCTCTAGAACTAGAGACAAACGATACGAGGAAGAAACCAAGTGCCTTTGTGTGCGCATGAACATCCAAATGAAACATTTACCGTAAAAAATACTATTGTCATCTGCTGTTACCCAGCAAAGAAAGGAATCAAGCTACACAAGAAACAAAAATATGAAAATAAAAATAATAATAATGATAATAATAATAAAAGAAAGACAAAAACAAAACAAAACAAAAATGAAAGGAAAGAAGTGGATTTATTCACACCTGTCCCACATGAAATATATAGTTAGAACTGCAAACTCCTCGTGTATATATAGATGAAATGGGGCAACCAAACAGGCACAGATAAGTTTGTGATTCAAGAACGTAACAATCCCCACAAAATCACATTTAAAATGATGACCACTATACATAATAACATCATGAATGTAAGAAATAATGTCAAAACCAACACAGCTTCAATTGATGCAGATTGTGTCATGAAAAACTAGAAACCTATGATGTACATTCACTCACAAACACTCAAAGTGCAAGAAAATCACGAACGGCCCTTGGCCCCACACAGCCTTCTAACTATAGACAGTTAGAGTTTCACAACACTTTGAAATCACAAATACATAAATCAAATACTCATGTCGAACATAAGCCACTTTGTTTTGGAGCTCCAAGAAACTCGCTAACCCTCAAAAATCACCTTCTCCACTCTGCTTGTGTCACTTTTCCTACGAAAATAAAACTTTTATTAGAAGGCAGTAAATCTAATAAATTGAATATCAAGACTTAATCATGTAACAAAAAGAAAAATGCTGCTCATATCTTGAATAACAATTAATAAGCATTGTCAAGCTATTAGAAAAATATTTTTCAATAATGAAAGCGGTACATGCAACATAGTTCAATGTCCATGGGTAAAAGAGAGTCAACTTTTCACAAAGAACAAATCATACCATTCCCATCTCGAGAGGATAGAGATTTATCGCTTTTTTTTCCTCCCTTGCTGCAGGTTTGAACCAATCTCTGTGTTCTTGGTGACTGTGAGCTGATTTTGCTATTTGTGGAAGATGGCAGTGAATGACGACGATTGAGGTTATTTTTCTCTGTCTCATCTTGTCCAAATCTTGGGGAGCCTTGCACTTTCAACTTTGCCTTTGCAGATTCAGTTGCTGCCATATAGCTTGGCAAAGCAGGAGCAGTCTGTACCCCATTCTCCGCACGTTCTTGTTTGGCTGGAGTAGAAGCTTTCCTGCCTGATTTCTGGTTGTCAATGCTTGTCAAGTCTTCCTTTTGTACCAACCCTCCGTTTGCAGCTAAAACATTTTCCTCTTTTTTAGTGTTCTCTGTTAGAACCTGTGATTCAACTGTAGCTTGCTCATCAGGCACAATTTCTTCTTTGCTAGTGCTCTCTACTGGAGGCTTATCATCAGCTATAGGTCGGTCACCAGATGATAACTCAGGTACCTCCTTGGTTACTATTGGCTCGGGGACTGCTTCTACCTCAGGCAGAATGGATGTCGTCTCTTTTTTCACCTTCTCACCGGGTGTTGTCTCTTTCTTCACCTTCTCACTTGGTGCTGTCTCTTTCTTTACCTTCTCAATGGATGTTGCCTCCTTCTTTACCTTGTCATTGGACATTGGCTCTTTCTTTACCTTCTCACTACCATTATTAATGCATTGTTCTACACCATCATGACTTGAACTGCTAAACTCGTTTTCAAGACTCTGCTTTGGTGGATTCTCAATTCCAACTTCTGACTGGACAGAGTTCTCCACTACAGGGATATGAACCTTTCTCAAGTTTCGTTTAACCTTTTCAAGCTCAATTTGTGGATTTTCCTGCACCGGTTCTGCTGGATGGCTTGAAACTTTTCTAAAGCTGCGTTTGGGTTTCTCAAGTTCAGAAGTTGTGTGCACTGAGACACTTTCAACATTTGTGGAATGTGATCTCCGGGTTCGCTTCGATCTGCTCGCTTGAGGTTCTGCTATCTGACCATTGCCCTGCTTTTTCTGAGATTTTGTATCCAGAACTCTCTTAGGTTGGGGAATTGGTTTCCAAAAATGGGTTGATGACCAACGTTCCAACCAGCTCGGAACAGAATTTGGATCACCAGATTCGTAGTGCACATGCAGAGGCATCACATTGGGTGATGGAGCAAGAAGCTAAAGCAACAAACCAACAAAAAAAATAAAATAAAATGTAAGGAGAAGATAATAAACTAGATCGTCAATTGCAAATGAATAAGAGTTGAATGGCAGTAGTCCAAATCACCTGATACCTAAGATTTTGTTTGTTCAGCAACAAGTTACAAGTCATTATTTTATTTACATTTACGCCATTAAGAAAGAAAAGGAAGTATTTCTATAAGATATTGATGTAAATGTGGCAATCAAACTATTTTAACGTCATGTCACAAATAAATAAGCAAAGAATTACCACAAACAACAATGAATGTTCCCAAAATACAAGTTTCTTAATCATATTTATGAACTACCACAGAGTTTCATATAAAGTGAACAAGCTCAACAGATTCCGTGTTCAGAATCAGAATTTATAAACTTAGCTTCATGATTCGCACTCCCTAAATTCATATCATTCAAAAATTTGCAAAGTTTTAAACGATCAATAATAATATCTTCTTCATACACATTCATAATATTCATATCAAGGTTTTAGTTATCTGTGTTCTTTCGACAGCTCCATCAATTACTAATAAAAGAATAATGATTAAATAAATATGTACAGAAATAATAGCAGAGCAGGCACAGTACAGTCCCCGCCTTCTGGTCATACCTTTCGAATGAAAGCGTTTATTGACAGCTTCGTTATTTGTGTAGAAATATTAACGCCAACAGGATCCAGCTTGCCACCCTGATGCAAATGGTAGGAAAGAAAATAATGTCAGATCTAGCACTATTTGAACAGAAATTTACATGTGCTGCCAGTCTAGACAAAGTACTCACATACAGTAGAATAACTGTATCTGATCAACTTATGGCCCACGGTTCATAGGTTTGAATAGAAATTCAATTTTTTATAAGAGAAAACTGTAACCAAAAGGTTTGAATTATGGTTTAAACTACAAACCAAACAGCACATTAATCTCAATGTTTGTCATAGTTCTCACACAATTGGAGGAAAGGATAGAACAAGAATAAAGAGGAAAGCTCAAGGATATTTACCATAGGCATCGCGAGATTGCATTTGCTTTGCACTTCAAGCCCAATATCAGAAGTTCTTATCCTTCTTCCACGAATTAGAGCCTGAAACTTGACAATCCCCAGCATACTACACAAAGTGGCAACAGCTTGTCTCCTAACCAAGTGCCCACGAATAAGTGCCTGCAGCCTTATGATGCCTTTCAGGGCCCAAAATGCTCGGCGAGCCTTCACATCATATACCAAATAACCAAATCAGTAAATTGTATTTTATTTAATCCCATAAAAAACAGTGAGCAATAGTTGAAATTAAAAAGAAAAATGCATTCATATCAGAGCTCGTTGAACAATCTGTAAAGCAAATAATGAGAACCAGTCAACAATAGAAAGTCTCAAAGCACCAAAGTTGCTACCAAAAAATTTAATAAAATTTAATGTCTGCAAACGAGAAGACGGCACTGGTTGGTCTGTATATTGAAAAAGATGAGATCCTGAGGAAGGTTGGGATTGGGGAGAGATAAACTCCTATTTTCCGTTTGATCGCTCAAGTAACTAAAGGACGAGGAGTGGTGACCCTCAGTTAGCCTTTAGTTACTTAGCAAGCTATACGTGACCGACGTCGGCTCCATACGTTAAGATTAAGGTTTGGTTGGACAAATCCCTGTTGAAACAAGGAAAACGCTCGATATAAGCTCAAAAAATGGTCATAGGGTCGACTCCTAGAAACAAAGAGGCGCTCTTGGTAAGCTAACCCACTAGTCAATTATTCAACAATAGGAATTGTTGTTTCTACGAAGCTAAAGTGGATGCCTGATGGTCCGACATCTCAAAGTATGCCTGGCCAGGCACCTAACTACACCCTTTACAATAGAGTTTCTGTGTGCTTGTATGTTCGTATGTGCGCGCCTAGAACTCCTCAAATTTAAGGAGGTGGACACAACCTACTATAACAATTAAAAACACCTTTGGAGAAAGTAGTATTCTAATTAAAGCTCGTTCATTTCACCGATTTAAGTTTTCAGTTTTAGGTTTCTATAATAAAAAGCTCTCAGAAAATGTCACATTTAACTTTTTCTGCTACAATGAAAAGTTCTCAAAAAATGTCACATCTTAGTTCGAATTGAAAACTCGAATCTGCGAAGTGAACGATGTCTAAATAACTTCTACTCTTTCTTAAATGAAGGGTTGTTTATCGAGAGATTTACCAGATAACCCCTAAAAGTAGCCTGCACAATAGTTGCCGCTTGCTCTTTCCTAATTTGCTCAGGATCACTTGGTACATCTTGGGGGATGGATCCCTGTGTCTCTACATTTTCGCTCCCTGGAAAAACAGTTCCCCCGTCACCATATATATTTTCACCTTCCTTGTTCTCCAACCCTAACTTCCCTTCATTTCCTTCAGTGGTAATAGGTAATGGTTGTGAAGTAGGTGAAACTGAAGCGAAATCAGCTCCTGAAGTCTTTGCAGCAACCACCACCTCTCTCTCATTTGCAAGTTTCTAAAAGCGGTGAGCAAGAACATAAAAATAACAACAATAATAATAATAATTTATTCATGATCAAAATGATACTAATATAGGTGGCAATGCAATTATACTTTACTTGAATAGCAGAAAATGAAAATCATACCAAATCTTCTGAGTATCAAGCTTGGAATAAATATACAACTTCGCACATACATATATTCATTTTTTCCCCTAAAAAAATGAATATACATTTTTTAAACTGCAACTAAACAAATTGTTCAATACCTCTCTTCCTTTTGAAATGTGGTCTTTTGACTTCTTCCCAAACAGTACTGCCCTGATCCATTTCCCTGGCGACTTGCCCATTGCACGAATGCCAACACCAGTAGCCAAAATCTAAAAATAATCAAGAATTTAAAATATATATACATATATCAACTCTCACATACATAAACTACAGAATCTAATAGTTGGAAACTAAAAAAGTACTTTCTATTTAGAATTAAATAAAATAAAACTAAAATAGTACTTTTAAACCCAAAAAAATATTAAAAAAAACTCCAAAAAATATTCACCATCACAAAAATTCATATACCAGGAAAATCGCACCAATAATTGCTTCCTTATACTTGCAGAAATCAAACAAGTAAAGAAGAGTCAAATCACTGCTTTTTCAATAAAATTTTAATCTAAGACTAGTTTTATTAGATAACCAGTTCTAGACTTCTAGCACAGTATCAAGGAAAGTATGTTACTGCTTCAAACCCAAAGATTTCCTCAAGTAAAATAAAGAATTCAGAAGCAGAAATTAAAAAGCTTGAATCTTTCAAAAAAGAAAAAAAAAAACACAGAAAGTTTAAAGATTGAGCTTTAAATTACTGTCACAAACTTTAACAAAAAAAAAAAAGAATTTTGACTACTTAATCTAAATTATGTAATCATTACTTCCAACAGATCCAAGTCAAAATGATTAAGAATTTGAACTGAAATACATTCCCTCTCAGTGGGCTTTTAAATTGTTACATTAAGCATTATAACCCAACCAATTAAGCAAAAAAACAAATTCAATTAGGCGTAGCCAATACCAAATGTTACAAATTTACAGTTCCATTGGCTGCATAAATACAAAAATAAGCAAATTTGAAAACAAAATGCAAAGAAATCAAACTCCAACGAAAATGCCGAATCTCGAAATTGAACAACTAAGAAACCCTAGAACAGACGAGATCTAAGATACTCAGAAAATGCAAAACGAAAAACAAAAAACAAAAATTATTTTTTTAAAAAAAAAAAAAAAAGGAAGCTGAAGCTGAGGCTGAGGCTCACCAGATCTGAAGCTCACCTGACGAATGCGAGACTCCGGAACTCCAAATCTACCATTCCTGGAAAGCAACCTCAAACCATAAGAACATTTTCCCGGAAAAAAATGAAAGAAAAGAAAAGAAAATGATAGAGCTACAAAACGAGCAGATTTCTGAAACTGCAAGCGGCAGTACACTATAGAAAGCGAGATAGAGAGATAAAAGGGAAGTGTACCATGAGAGAGAAAGCGAGAGCTAGAGAGAGAAAGAGAGAGCTTGGAAATCAAGGAAATGTCGATCTAAAGCTTCATCAGTTTTTTTTCCTTTTTTTTTTTTTCCTTTCTTTTTTGCTTCTCTGCTCTGCTTCGCTTTACTCTACTGCTCTGTACTCTTAACTCTTCGACTGGTGAGCCCCCGAAAAAATAAATACTCAAAAAAGAAAATGGATAAAATAGGGAGATAGGATTCTGTGCGGTTAAATGTAGTAGAAAGTAGGTGAAGTTTTGGTAAGTGACCAGTTGGATGAAATACTTCGGTCTAACTTTTTTGTCTCGGGATTGATGATTGATTGATGATTGATCACACGGTATAGGATAGGATTACAGTGGGGGGGAGCGTAGGGGAAGAAAGAAACGCTTTTGAATAAAGGAGTGTGGTGGCGTTGGTTGTCCCAAGCGCAGTTACTTCGGAACCAAGTGTCCAGCTTCTTTATTCCCAAGCATAAGTCAAATTACTTATTTACCCTTCGCACCTAAGACCATATTCCCACGCGCGAGTGGGCAACGGTTTTTTTTTTTTTTTCCTAAAAATGGGTATGCATGTTAAATCATAATTAATACGTTATATAATCACATCGGCTTTGGTAATGAGATGCGACGTGACCAATGGTATTGGTTTTTTATTAATATTAACAATGGTATTGGTTGTTATGTGGAATTCTAGGTTTTTGTACATCAGAATAATTATTCGGTAGATTAGTATATCACGTTATCATGTTTATATAATAAGTTTGTGTAATAAATACTTTGACAGTCAAACTTATTAATGTTAACTCTATCTAATTACTTTATTTTCTATCTTAATACATTTTACATTAATTATCTAGTTATAATTGTCATATAACTCTAATTAAATCTCACAATTAATTACTTTCAACTTTTAAATTATATTAAAACTTATTTTTATTTATTCAAGTCGTAACTCAAGTTATATTATTATAATATTTTCTCTCATAAAAATTTAAATTTAATTTTTTTTATAATATTTTATTTATTCACAAAAGGGACCTGAACGACCTAGTATTTGGTACACCTATCAAATGGTCCCTTATCAAGAAAATTTTTTTAAGAAAAATCTAGAAAATAACTAATCACACGAAGAAAATATTGTTCTAAAGTTGTTAATTTTTGGACCACTATAATGAGACAATATACTTTCCTAATATATATATATATATATATATGTGTGTGTATATAACTTATTCTTTAAATTATATGTATTGTTTATAAGACTAAAATTCACTTTACAATTATTTATAGAGAAATTTTTAAAAATACCACTTGAAATGGAGCATCTTTTTATTTTACCCTTTAAGCATTAGTCTATATATTTCTATTTTTAGACTAAAATTAGTTAAGGGATCGAGTTTTTTAAAAGATATACTTTTAGTAAATCAGATACTCAAATAGGCAAAATCTGTAATTTTCTCTTACTGCACATATACATACACACACTCACTCACCCTCACCCGTATCTTTTTTTTTTAACCCCTACACATGCCTTTTTGGCTTTTTCTAAATGTCTAACAATGAGGAATAAGTTGCTCATTTTCAAGACGACAAGCAACGAGTTGTTAACGTTTTCTTATTCAAGTTTCGTGAGTAGATTAGATGACGTTTGGTTTATGTATTCAGAATCATGATTCAGAACCATTCTCGTTTTATGTGTATTTTTTATGAGAGAAAACACTGTAGAGAACCATGAATCATGATTCAGAATCAGAGACGAATATAGGAAACAAACGTCTCCAACACTCATGCATTCTAAAATGCATTTGTCTCTTTTCTTTAAAAATTATCCTACAGTTAAAATATAATTATTATTAGTAGAGTAAAATAGTCTTCTACATCATGAATGTACTTTTCTTCAAAGCATTTTATTTAAAATACAGTGCTACTTAATTTAGGGGTGGCAATTCGGATTGGCGGGTCGTGTTCGTGTCATGTTGACTCCCTCAGTTAACACGAATAGGTCTAACACAAACACGACCCGTTTCTTAATCGTGTCGAAATATAAAACTCAAACACGACTTGTATATTGGCGGGTTGACATGACATGAATAACCCGTTTATTAAACATGTCATAAACGTATCGTGTCAACCCGTTGATTACATGTCAACCCGTTTATAAAATGGGTGATAAATGGGTCGTGTTAACCTATTTATGAACCTATTTTTGAACATGTTTATAAAATATGTGATAAATGAGTTGTGTTAACCTATTTCTGAACATATTTTTTAACCTGTTTATAAAATGGGTAATAAACAGGTTGTGTATTCGTGTTACCTAAATATGACACGTTTAATAAACATGTTATGACGGGTCAATTACGGGTTGGCGGGTCAACCTGAAAATGACACGTTATTTAATCATATTTCACGGGTTCAACCTTGATTTTGACCCGTACTTATTTATAATAAACCCAAACTCGTTAATTTCGTGCAGGTTTCGAGTCGTGTCGCTACCCAAATTACCAGTCCTACTACTTATTGCATACTATTCAAACTAAGATTTGGACCTTTATTAAAGCAATGGCGATCATCTATAATTTGTAAGTATTACAGTTTTAACTTTCATGCTTTGAGAAAAAAAAATGTTACAATCGGCAATATTTGGACCAGCACACCTTGCTTGTTAAAAGAGCAAAGGAGTATAGTCTTAATATGCTTTTTAAACGACAATTATTATTAAAAAATTAGAAATACTCATACTTTTAAGCTTAAGATTTCAAAATAAATTAGTGCGTTACAAAAGTGCCCTAGATAATATGTAACATAAAAAAAAAAACAAAAAAACAAAAAAACAAAAACAACAACAACAAGTCAACAACCATGATTTTCTTTTGAAATTTTGACAAGGAAAGTTTAACGTACATTATGGAAAGTTTTAAGTACATTATTGTAATTATTTAAAAAAAAATCCAAAACACCTTTGTATATAGCCAGATATTATAAAAAATGTTTAAAATATCCCCTTAATTTCTTTAAAATGCCACATTTCACCCCACGTGTTGTTGAAAACAATCTAAAATAACCCCTTTCCCCATGTTTTCGTTAAATTTAAATATATATATATATATATCGAAACTACTCTCAATAATTTGTATAAAAAATACTTAAAACGAACCTTATGTTTAGTTAAAATACCACTTTGTCCCTTACATTATTCAAACACCATCATTTCCATTCCCACTCTATGTTAAATATCGTATAAAGCATTAATTAACTAAAATATTAAAAAGAATAAATCTTAAACTTTAACAAAACTCTAAAAATAACAACCAAACAAAATAATCGATAAAAAAATTTCGAGCGATGGGACGAAGCTATTAAAGGCCTTTCTCTTTCTTGCACTTATACATATTTATTTATATCCAATTTATCTAGCTATAGCTCTTAAAAAATTTATAACTTTATTTCATTCCTCCTCAAAATTAAAAAAAATATTGTTTTAAATCAGAGCTAAATAAAGTCACTAAGTACTTAATAAGATCTTTTTCTTCTCAATAGTAGATTGGATTATTTAATAAAGTAAACCTATTTGTTTTTTGCTCTCATTTTCTTATTCTTTTCTTTTTCCCATTGGTGTACATAACCTCTTTTTTTAAAAAATATATATAAAGCATACACAATAATTTTATCTGGGATAGTGTATAAATTATGCATCATACTGTTCTTAGAGAAAAACATGGAGCATCCTAACAAGTAGTAATTAATACCTTAAAAAAATAAAGTAATTAATTAGACATAATTGTGATGTGAATATAATATTTTATTTCTTTTATTCTTGTTTGTCATTCTATTTAATAATTATACTTGTACGTTATTATTGATATTAATAGAGTATATTTTCAGTATAAATATTGTTAATAATCGATCACCAAATCGAGTGGAAATTTAATACCAATATTGTTAGGATGTTAAAGTTACATGTTTTAAGTTTTTTTTTTTCCCTTTTTATGTTGTTAATAAAAATATTAAATGAGAAATTAATAGATAAATGAAAATTTATTTGTGTAAATTTAAAAAGGCATATTCAATGACCCTAATGATAAGGTTATTATGCAATATTTTAGGCATGATAAGCTGTCGGGTAAAATCATATTATTTAATAATTATTTATTTTGCTTAAATACTTGTAGTGGTTATATAGCCTCTAATCAAAATTATTGGCTTCGTCACTGCAGGCAAACTCGTCTTCTTTAGGGTATCTTTGTGTCTTAGACATGGAAACCTTAAATGGACCAATTTGATTTATAGAGACATGGTCAAATGTTATATTTGCAAACAACAAACTTCTTAGTTGGGGAACCTTGCCATGGAGGCCTCACAAGGGGAGTTTTGTGTATTTTTCCTTACAAATTATTAAGGGTACTTTTTGTATGTTCAAAAATTTTACCGATTAAGTAATTAAAAATGGGGTATGTAATTATGTCTAAACCATTTTCCATAGTCTGATGGATAAACTTGATAATTTAAAGGAACACATAGGATATTTTAGGCATTTAAAAAGAGAAAATTGTTAACTTATTTTTAAAGTGTATGGGCCTTAATTTTTACCCATTACTCTTGATTAATAGTCTTTTGATGAATATAGTTATTTAATGAAAATGATATTAATCAAGACTGAGTGGGAAATGTATTTATCTTATTTTCTCATTTAAATATATAAGAAGGCCATAGAGTCTTACTTGACTAAATAAAATGATATTTTGGGTATTTTTCCTATTCATTTTGTGTTAATATTTTTTTATTTTTGAAAAGGCAAATCATTTTGTTTTATTTTTTCGTTTCTTATGAAGTTGAATTGATTTTTTTTTTCCATTTTGTTCTTTTTATGCTTATTACGCTTGTTTATTTGTTTTTAAATTTTTTTTCCTATTTTGTATTTTTAATCATATATCAATAATATAATAACTTTGTTGTCGTATTATTTAATTATTTTTTATTTCATGAATTACATTGCTTTCTATTTTATATTTTAATGTCCTTTATGTTTTCTAAAAAAAATATTTTAATAAATTTTCTTCTTATACAAGAGAAGCGTCATGCCTAAAGCTTCACCTAAAAAAAATAGAGAATATGGAAATGATAATATTAAAATAAAAAATTAAAATA